TGTTATATTATGTAAAAATATTATATGGTCGCGTCAACACAAAAAAAAATCTTAAATTTGTTTAATTTGTATGTTGTGTTTCCATCTAAGTCTTCTGTTTACTGCTTTATATATATTTTTTTTTCTTACTAGTGTAATACTCAATTCATAAACTAGTGTGTAAAATATACTAACTAGTAATGTATTACTAGTTAGTATATTTTAATTTTGTTTAGTTTAGTCCTTTTAAGAAACACATATATACAGTTTTACAATATTCTTAACCTACATAGTAATAATAATAAATAAAAATTTGATAAAAGAAAATAAAAACACACTTTAATAAATATTGTAAACCATATTTATTCTCATCAAATTATTTCGTAGAGCTATTTGGTTATCTTATATTTTAAATTAGATTTAATTAGTTATAGCAGAAACCATACAGTAGGAACCTTCGCGTGTGTATTCGCTGCACCAGGGTGTAGAAACTCTCAACTTTTTTCTTTTGATGCTTCTCCATTACTCAAGTTTGGCCGTCGAACGTGAAGCCTGTCTCTCTTAATTAAGGACAAAAGATGTTTATTTTTCATCCCCCGGGATTTGAATACATGACCCCATAACCTGCAGTCGAATATGCATATAACTTGCCTAATAAGATCCTTATTTATTGATTTATAAATGCAAAAGGTTTTAATTCCCTTTAAAACAATGTAAAACAAAATCTTACGATAATGTCTCAGTTCCGTACATAGTAATAGTTCAAGTGGAACACGCGCGATTTGTACGAAGTGACCTCTCTTTTACGGACAATGCAAGGGGATTGCGTAACTTAAGGATTATTACATACGAACGTCCGAAACGCTACACAACCATTTCTCAGCATGCACTATTCCAGACGTACACCGTAATTTAATTTTAATTTCAGAATTATTCCAAGTTTTTGACAGCGCTACTACGGGTGACAGTTCTCTAATCGTTAAGACCTGTTTTCACTTTGATTAGTGCGAGTGCAAGTGATTAGTAATTGACATTGATTAGTGCAGGTGTGTAGTGCAAGTAATGTCCAATTATTGTTTAGTGGCTCTGTTAAGTAAATTCAGTTGTCATATAGTTTGGCAGTCACGCTGCGATTGAGGGGGAAGGGAGGGCGCAAGCGACGTCACTACTCGCAGTTCACTCGCAAAAAAATAGAACACACTTCTAATCACTTTACTACGCAGCCAACTAATCACCTGCACTAATCAGTCGCTGTCCACACTTCTTTTCTCCTAATCACTAATCACCTGCACTAATCACTTGCACTAATCACTAATCAAAGTGAATAGAGGCCTTAAGATTTAGAAACAGGATTGAACACGAACTTATGACTCCAGTATGTCAATATAATACATTTTTGAAATATCTACGGAAGTCAAATTTAGCTCTAAGTCTCGGTTTATTACCCTAAAACAATATGAATGCTTAAAACTACGGAACGGAACTTTATATACATTTTAATAATAATAGAACAGACAATTTAAGAAAAACTAAATATATATTTAAAATAAGTTAATAACTACGATAACATCATAGGACTCATTTACTTAACTAATAACTTTAACTTTACTTAACTATTAATTACTTAAGATGTCATGTGGAACGTGGTGTAATGGTAGCTCCTTACAAACATTGTGTAAAACAAAAAACTTGGTGATTAAAAAGGGTAGCGGAGAGTTTATTGCCAATTATTCTCTTCCGCTCTAACCCTTGATTTGAGAACTGGGAGTAAATGTAAAATTAGAAGCATTTAATGTATATTTCTTTTTTGACGTTCATAAGTGTTTGACATTGTGTTACCTATATGAATAAAAGATTTTGATTTGTTAAAAAGATTTAACAAATATTAAACAATCTTTACACATTTAGACAGTCGTCCACAGACGGGGGAAGTATAGAGCATATGTACACAAAAAAATTACACGTGAAATTGAAAAGCTCCTTCGACTTTTTTCGGTTACAGAGAACCTTTAGCTTTAAACTGCTCGTACATAAAATACCTTATTAACGTCTTCCAAGCGAAAAATAATTACCATATTATATCTTGAGGGTTATCTGGATCGGATATGCGACTGTTTCATTTTGAATGTGATTTCGGCAACTACTCAGATACCTTACAAAATATTATCAATAAGAAAAGAGAGTCAAAATGAAGACCCGAGTATACTAAGTGCCGCGTTTTAGCGACACTTTGTCCCCGGAATTCAAACATACAAAAACCACTTCTCGCTGTTGTATATTTTATAATAATCGCTATATTTTTGATATAGATGATTCTATGTTAATGAGTTATCTCATAATTTAAACTATCAATGACACATCTGATCTTTCAGGTAAAATTGCAGGGTACAATGTAATATAACTACGAAGATGCAGAACGAATGAGAAATAAATAATTTAACTATTGTGTTACGCGGGTCGTTCTTCTTTTAAACCTACAATTTGATAAAGCTTTAGCTCAATTTTTAAAATAAAAATATAAAGCTTTCTTGTCAGTTTATATATATATTCTAATAGCAGATTTTCTATTCTATTGGAAAAAGTGGTTTGCCGAGATGTTTACAGATTTTTGTACGATTTTCTAGGCCTGAAAGAAAAATTCGACAAAAAAATTTACTATTTCGGCACGAAATCTTTTATTTTATTCTATCGAATACTCTTTGTCAAATAACTTGTACTTTTGTAATACATTAATTAACTAAATGAGCTTTTAGAAAACGTATTAATATAATACATTTGTATGTATAAAATATGTTTTATTCGTGACCTAATACCACTCCGTCACATTTTCTGCTAATATAAATGTATTTTTTGCTATAAATCAATTTTTACGATCATTTAAAAATAAATACCAATATCACAGATAGCAATATAATCAAATAATATAAATATAAATTTTAAATGTTGCACTAGTCATAACAAAATATATAAAAGACAAAAATAATTTTCCTATCAGGACACAACATCGTGACGGAGTTTGATATTCTAGGGGATACCAGGCTGCGTTTTGGTATAAAACAGGTTTATTTTTCTAAAATAATTTATTTTGTTATACATCATGAATTATATCGTCTTCTTTTTCGTTAGTTAAGAAAACGCCCACAGTATATATATATATATATATATATATATATATATATATATATATATATAGGCAGAGGCTGATAAATTTAGAATAAGACAACAACGTCGTAAGAACAGAATTGTTCACAGCAACAACTAAATACCCTATGGTTTAAGACGAGTTTCCGTGAACATTTGGTGCACTTGCTTTGTTCCTTTTAGGGGCACAATATTATTTGGAATCGTTGTTGCTACCTTTTCTAAGTCTTAGTCTGTCAAAATGAACCGTTTAAATTTGCTGGCATCTTGAAAGTGGATAAGAATTGGAACATCTGCAATATAGTTTCCTCTACCTACTATGGCATCACATTGGCGTTTCATTGTCCCTCCAACCTGCAGAAGCTCCTTTTCCATGCCCTGATTCAAAGAAGTTCCAGGATATTTGGCGAAACCCATAATCTTCGAAAAAATTGTTTGCCATTAGGTAAAAGTGTGACAGAGTTGACATGTGACGTAGGGGTAAAAACTTGTTGCTAAGTCGATAACATTTAAAAGCTGACATAGAATTTATAATTTACTCATTGACAACAAAATATTTCTTATAACGTAAGAGTAGACAACAAAAAGTAACAATAATAATTATATTTTGAATCCATTACTTACGTGACGAAGCGGTAGCCGAATAAAAACACACACCTTCTGTCACAGCTTTCGAGCGATTGACGCGCTGACTTTTGATCTCATAGGGGAAAGTGTACCAAGGGGGGAAGGAGGTCTAAACCTTCAATCACAGGCCACAAAGACGAGCGGCACAAACGCGTATTTCGAAGGACAACCCACGTGACAGAATTTACAAAATAAAACACCAGGCAGTAGGAGACAAGTATTTGATATTTTTTTTTAATTTATTAAAAGTGATAAAAAATAATGGTTGCTATTGCATGATAGGCAATATATTTAGGAGCTATAAGATATTTTTATGTTTTGTGTCATCATATAATTTTTTAGTAATATTATGGATTAAACGCAAGCTGAGGTAGCGGGAGACATAGGGAATTTGTATGAGATACACTTCTGTCACGCGGATTTACTACTTTGTCACGTACTTTTACAATTAAATTATTCAATATATTTGTTATTTGATCGTGCATAGCCATTATGCATATAGTACAGTGCATGTTGAAATACAATTAAGAAAAAAATAATAGTAATTTCCTTGTTTATTTTCTCACTGATTGGTGGAGACAACTAATTGTAGGTTAAAAAGAAGAATGACCCACGCACGGTTTTAAATAAATACTTACTCGGAGTACTTTATAAATTTATTTTCTGAATGATTTCCTGTTTATACAATTTAATAATATACTAAACATTTCCATGAGATCTTAGTTATACCTATACTTGTATGTAGAAACTACTAAAATTTCCTATTACTGAATAACTTCGCATATTTTATAAAAAGCAGGAAATATTCAATTGCATGAACTGTTTAACAAAGTTAACTAGAAAATGAAATCTGTAATTAAAATTACAGATTTCATATTAGTATTTTATTGGCTATTTATATAATATTATACGTGACTTAGAGGCCATGCGTAAGCACTATACAATTAAAATATATAACTGTGTCATTTTAGTATCTCTTAAGAAACCATCAGCCAATTAACAAATGTTTAATATAAACGTTTATTACCTTATATTGTATCGATATTAAAACCTTAAGCTCAGCGTGACTAGAACCTTAATGGAACTTTTTAATTGCTTTATTGAATCGTGCGTCGAATTGATTACGATATGGGTTCCCGTATACACACAGCGATGAGCGAACCTCATTGTATCCGTGAGATTCCATTGAAATTGATAAAGGCACCGCTTGCAATACTAGTATTGCTTCAAACCTTGTCCTATCAAGCCGCGTGATGTGGAAGATTATTTATTTAGTTAGCATTGTGGTTGCGACACCTACCAACCCTGGTGTCAACTTCACACCGATCAACGAATTTTCATTAAAACTACTTAACAATGTTTATGCTTTCCAAGAGAGTTTTGGTGAAAAAAATTTGGCCATCTCACCTCTATCTGTATGGAGTATTTTCTCTCTGCTAGCTGAAGGATCGGCTGGGGAGACTTTCCAGGAGTTAATGAGAGAGTTGCGGCTGCCGAACGACCTACGATCAACCCAGGCACTGCACGCTGCTGTTGCCAATCTATTAAAGAATTCAGATAGTGATGTCACGCTTAAAGGACAATCAGCTATGTTCTCCGACAACAACTTAAAGATACACAAGGAGTTTTGTGAATCAGCAAATTATTACAATAATAAAGTGTACTTTGTTGATCCGACCAATACAACGCTACTCGCTCAGGATATCAATTACTACATTTGCGTAGCTACAGAAGGAAAAATACGCAATGCAGTGAAACCCAAGCACTTGGAGAATTTACGGATGATATTAGTGGACGCTTTGTACTTTAAAGCAAGCTGGACGTATCCCTTTGACCCGACTCAGACGAAAGAAGAAGCGTTTTATAATTGGCAAGGAAAGACGATTGGTTCAGTCAACATGATGTATCATAAGGCGCCTCATAACTTTGGAGATTCAAATCAAATCCGTGCTCAGATATTGGAAATGACATATGGCAAGAAGGAGCAGTTTTCAATGTTGATTCTTCTGCCATTCGACGGGATGCCGATAAAGGCGCTGCTAGAAAACCTAGCGAGCCAGCCGTTAAACTGGATGACAGACTTCAAATCTGGTGAACTACCGGAGCTAGATTGCTATATACCAAGATTTAAACTATCCACGCAAGCAGATTTAATACCACCGTTACAATACTCAGGAATTCAAAGGGTTTTTGACGCTGAAAAGGCGGAGTTACCAGGTGTATCTGATAGTCCACTATATGTTTCTAAAACAGTGCAAAGTGTTGAAATTGAAGTGACCGAAGAAGGTACTGTGGCTGCGGCTTCTACTGTCGTTGGTTTAGAAGACCGAATTCTAGGGCAAAGGTTCGAAGCGAACAAGGAATTTGTTTTTGTCATCACGGATCGAACGACTGGTCTAATATTATTCACTGGTGTGTACGCGGTGCCACAAATTGTATAAATTATTGAAGAAAAAAATACTGAGGCTAAAACTTTTGGCTTAAATATTCGATAAAATGAAGCTTCACTATTTTATTCTAATAAATGACTGATTAAATAAGTTTAATACTATACTGTGTTTAATTGCGTTGAATCATTAATGATACCTACATCCATCATATTAATTGCTTCGAAACACCTCAAGTAGAAGAAGTAAATTTATTTTTTATTATCATTTCAATTGTTTAAAGATTATTCTAAATTGAAAATCGAATGTTTTAGACATTTATTAGGAGTTCAGGCATCTCTCATTAGAATTTTTCGTGAACACAACAGAATAAACACTTATTCAGCTTGGATATATTCGGTAGTGGGCTGATCAATTAAAACAAAACGTTGTTAGGCGAATAACATTAGGCGAAAAAAAAATTAATTAAGTACTAGTAAAAAGTAAACATTGTAGATATATTGTAAAATATACTGTAGAAAATGCATTTTATATGATGTGGTATACTTTAATAATGAAATAAATAGATTAAACATCACTCACAAGCCGTGATAAATTTGTAAACGATAAAAGTAACTTTATGTTTTAAATGGCCATTATTGTCATGTGTTTAGTCACCATGACATTGAATTATAAATACGGTATGTACTGTATACCTAGTGCTTTGTGAATACCGAGTTTTTTCTGTTTACCTATTGCCGAGGTCAAAATATTAGTACTTATTGAGTTTCAGACACATTTTTTTATAAATGGACTTAGATCTCTTATCACAAAACTGATACGTACAATTCATAAGTTAATGAACATTAGAGACTTGAGACACATACAATTAAAAATATATTGTGTCTACATAATTGAGCCAATTTATTCAATTATAAAGAACGAGGTTCTAGCAGACGAGTTCTTTATTTACCAAAACCCCATTTAAACGTCTAAGGAAATAAATCGTTTTAACTATCTGTCCCTTTTCATCACAGCGTAAACACAATTTGACAAAAAGTGAAAGAGCGCTTATTTTATGAGAGCAATTATAGTGATTTGGTTTTTATGAATAATAGGATTCTTCTTCTTCGATACTTTTACGCTGTGTGCCTTCTTAAGAAAGAAAAAACTTTATTATACACAATATACAGGATGTTTAGATTAAGTAAAGTGCACTGGCCCCCACACGAGGATTCCCTGTGTTGTGGACAGCCAGTCTCTTCGTTTTGACAGGTACTTGACAGAACGATTCAAGCCTTCAACACGTTATATACTGTAGACAAATATATATGCAACTTTGATAATATGCATGATAAACTATCTGAGGTGTTTAAATATAATTTTTTCAGCAGTGTTGGCACAGCTTCAGCGTGCGACTCTCATCTCTGAGGTCGTAGGTTCTATCCCCAGATTTGCACCAATGGTATTCTTTCTATGTGCGCTTTCTACATTCGCTCGAACGGTGAAGGAAAACAGCGTCAGGAAACCGACCTTTTACCCAAAAAGAGCGCGGCGTGTCTCAGACAAATGATCATAAAACAGATACAAAAATATGAGGCCAAGACCTAACAAAAAGTTGCGGCGCCACAGATTTTATTATAGTCAGGTGGGGCAAATGCATGAACGGGGCAAATGTAATACCATAACTTTAACTGTTTACACACAAAATAAACTAGTGCTGGCATCTCTTATACACGTAAAGTACTTCTTGCACTACACTCTGACAACTTATTGAATCTGATGGATTGACAGATTTTCACCAATCTCGTTGCTATAGAAACCAAAGTATATTTCAATTTGCGTATTTTATTGCCATTACCCCAGATTAGTAACTATCTACACTATTAGAATTTTAACATATTTTTTACATTTACCCCTTTACACCGGGAAAATGCAATAGAGAGTTAATCTGTAATCATCCATAATTAAATATAAATAATTACACCAAACAAAAGCCTAAAACATGTTTAATATTCACAGTAAAAATTATTTGCAAATTGTAAAAGACCACAAAATAACAAATCAATCTAGTTATGGTACTCGCATTTACCCCACCTGACCCTAAATAGAATTTTTCCCTGGAAATATTCTCCATTACTGATCAAGGCAACATATAAATCTTTAATTGGCCAATAAAGCGTTCAGCGCTAAGCAAATTTAACCAAATCTCATCAATATTCGTATTTATCACGCTATACATTATTCCTACATTAACATGCCACTTAAAAGTCGACACGCTTATCCGTATAATTGGAACGACTAGCGCCCGAACCCAATAATCAATCCACAATCTCAGATTGAAAACTATATGATATCAGACCGTGACAGTCGATCGATCTCCTATCTGCATCCCAATAACCAAACCCTTCGAAGACAATCCATTTTTGGCGACGGATAAAATGCTCTTTGTCTTTCCATTTTACCGAGTTTTCACTCATTTGATAATCAATGTAAACCAAATAAAGTGAATAAAACCGTACAAATAACATTAAAATATAAATGTGTATGTTTAAAACATAAAAAATAGTTTTTTTAATTATTTAAAAACCGGTCTAAGTTAAAATCTGTTAAAATAATTAACTGTTGAAATCGAGCTTTCGTCAACTGTCATTTTCATACAAAGGTCTATCCACAGACACCGATACGTCCTCCCAAGGATAGCTTGTATCGACAGATGGCTATTACAATCCGTCGATTGGTTATTGGCACATTTGCTCCAACATTTGGATTAAGATTACTATCTCAGGAGGTGGATTATGGATTGAGATAGGTTATTGGGTTCGGGCGTTAATGGCTCACGAGCGCCTTGTCGGCCTTTCAAGAATTGGTACGCTCTTTACTTGAAGAATCCTAATTCGAATACTGGCGGCTGTCAAGTCAAGTCAAGTCAAATCATTTATTGCAATTAGACCACCATAAATGGCACTTTTGAACGTCAAATAAAATACAAAGAAGATTCTAGTTGCCCCTTCCAAAAAGGTAGTTTCGTGTGGAGAAGAATAGGCAAAGAACTCCACACTAACTCTTTTAAAATAGGTTACAATATTTTGTATACTATAGTTAAATAATTATATGTAAAGACAATGTACTCCTGGAATAAAACTACTTACTATACTAAAGTAGGCTCAAAGTATAACTTTCAAATTAAGCAATGCAGCTTATAGGTAAATGATTGTATATTTATATTTAGAAATATGTGAGGATGTATATTAACAACACTATTTATGGATGCTAGGTAAATTAACTACTGCATAAGCAATTATATAAGTCAATTCATTTCGTGTTAACAATAATATTGAGGTTTTTACATTTTACTTCCCACGTATATGACATCAGTGTTATCCTACGGCCACACTTTGATTTAAACTGTGGGCTAATGACTGTGTGGCTACAACTTTGACTTTGCAAAAATAAAAAAGGCTTTTATTTTTTGCAAAGTCATACAGATAATACATTACAATTTTTTTTATCAGTACCCCTTTCGCAGGTGAAGGCCTCCAAGGATCTCCTGGTATCTCTATCATAGGCAAACTGCATTCAGCTCGAGCCAGCCGTTTTGATGACGTCATACGCCCATCTCGTGAGCGGCTACCATTATTTAATTATATAACACTAGCTGTCCCCCGAGGTCAGACTCGCGTTTATTGAGTGTCACCGTGCAAATTTAATGCCCGCGAGGTAACCGCGATCATAACTTTGTTGCGAAGTGCTCTCAATATGGAGTATTTATCTTTCATCCGAAGTAGATCGCTTATGGCCGTCCTTGAAAAATAGAGTAGTCAACATTTTTTTAATATTTCGAAGTAATAGGTGTTGAACGCGTAAACACGCAAACGCTTTATAATATTAGAATGTTAGATTTTTTACACGCTTTATATTAGCTTCACCTGTATGTATGTATGTAGGTATGTATGTATGTATGTATGTAACCGACTCCTTCGGACTCGATTTTGACCCACATTAAACGGACAGATTTAATTCAAACTTTGTACACTTATAAAGAATCAGCGACAATATAATAATTTCTCGAAAAAACAATGAAATTTTTTTAAGTCCACAAAGCAATACGATTAAATTGAGACAACACGTATTGCTGCTAGGACTAAAAAGTGGAAAATAAATATAGTTAAAAAAAACAATGTTCATTACCATTTTCAGCCTAAATTAGGAATTATTTTTCACTTTTTAGTTTAATGTGCTTTAAAAGCGTGTTTTTTAGTTTTTTTAACTATATTTATTTTATTTGCGCAAAAGCGCGCCTTAGACTTACTTAGCCGCATTTAGTGTGCTCTGTGTTTCTGTTACAGTATAAATGAATAATTTTATTGAGTATAAAAACTTTGAGTATGAAACTTTGTAAGCCAGCAATTGGGCGGAGGTAGCACAGGACAGAGAGCGCTGGAAGATTCTCAATTGGGAGGCCAAGAAACTTTTCGGGTCGCAGAGTTAGTAAGTGAGTATAAAAAAATGCATTTTTGGATAGGGATGACTTTAATTTTTACGGTTATTACGTAACCGCTTTAATAATTAATTTGAATAAATGAAAAAAAAAATTAAGAATTTTTGAAAAGTATTCATAACAACCTGTGTGTTCCTAGCATAACACTATAATAGCGTGACCACGACATTGAGTTTTATCCAAACAATACAACAATTTTAGCCATCTTTTCAAACCGGCTTGTAGTCACACGTTTTTCGAACAACATTTTTGTTGAATTAAAATGTTTGTAATTGGTTAATTAAGAACGGACATATTTGATATGTTCTGCACGATGTAAACGTTTGCTTAGAGTAAGTGTGAACTGTGAACATGCTGCAATGTCAAATAAAAATCCGACATTTATTATTCATGTTCTGTGTCAGTTATTTCTATAAAATATACTTCAGTAAAACATGTATTCATTAATTAGTGAAAAATATAATGTAAAAAATAGCTTTATGTTCTTACACTGAAGAATAAAAACTTCAAATGCTTTTTAATGATTGTCTTTGATTTGATTGTGTTTGTTCTACACATTTAAATAGAACTTCTTCAATGGAATTTTAGTGCTTTTCATCAATTTGATGACAATAAGTTATATTGAGTTTGTGTTTGTTTTGGTTTAATAACAATAATCTAGTGGCGCTATAACCCGAGGGTGTCAGTTTCCGATTTCAGCATCTATTGGATTAATGATTTACAAGAATAACAGGTTTTTTTAAAATTTTACAATAAGAAATACACAGGTGTTTCTTATTGTTTAAAGTCCCATAACCCACGCACAGACTACTTTTTTGCGTTGTTAATTATTTTTATAACAAGTTTTGTTTCGCAGGTTACCAACCAAATGAGCAACAACGACACGGAAACGGGGTAATTTCGCATTTCTTAAAGAGCAATTTAGTGCGCCTATAATAATTATAGAGCAAAAGAAGTTACCTATTGTCATATATTATGTCGTTTACACTTCTGATCGTGGCTCTTAACAGATATTCAAATATACTTTAAACGTGTTTTATAACCTGGAAATAACTTATTGATTCAATATATTCCAACAAACATTACTCAGTCTTTATCAGTAAGCAATTAACATCCTTGGAAACCATTGGCTTAATCAAAGTTGGGAATTCCTAACATTTATCATTATTACAATTTTATCCTCCACGTTGAGCAAGAAAACAGGTTTTAAAAGTGATAGTCGGTCAGTCGCCATTGAATCAACAAAATGTATTTACTTGTCGTGTTTTGTTTTATATTGGGAAGTCGGGCACAAAATTTTATAGATTTTAATAAAAGAGTGAACATTTTCGGTATAGAGTTAATGTATTTTACGCATCAAGAAATAAATAATACATTGATATCGCCGTTCGGAGTGTGGAGTGTTCTTACAGGGTTGACCACCGGCGCCACAAGTGTGAGTAAAACTCAGCTGTACGACATTCTGCGCCTCCCCAACAATGACGTAAGAATAACAGATGCCTATAAAAATTTGACGCAGATTGTATTAAACAATACCATTGTTCAAAGCAAGAATAATTTGTATTACCATATGAATAATACAATTTCGAAACAATTTGAAAATGATCTGACTGATCACTTCGATATTCTAGCAATAAAGCTTGATTTTAGAGAATCGCACTCGGCTGCGTTGGTAGCGAATACAATTGTATCCGACGCTGGAATCAAAACCAATAATGTATTAAACGATACTGATTTTACAGACGCAAATGTGATATTGACCTGTGTCATTAAGTTTAGTGGTCTCTTCGAATCACCGTTTAGTAAGGACCGGACAACAATTCGGCCATTTTACGTAAGCCCCAATGATATTAAAGAAGTGAATATGATGAAGCAAATTGGACAATTTCGTTATTCCAAAATCGATTCTATAAAATCAGAAGTAATCGAAATGCCTTATACAAAATATAATATATCAATGATTGTGATTCTTCCCAACAGAAATGTGTCCCTAGATGATTTATATGAAGGTTTTAGACGAACATCTATTGAAGATGTTGTGCGCAAACTGGAAGTGGAAGAAAAGGAGATAGTGTCAGTTTCAATACCAAGATTTAAAATAAGATCAAATTTAATTTTAAATACACCTTTGAGTCTAATGGGTTTAGATATTTTTACACCATACGCGAGATTTAGTGAAACGTCAAATAATTTTTATATTTCCAAATTGGTGCATAAAGTTGATTTGGAACTTATTGAATCCGGTATAAATAATCAATTACAATTGAATCCCGCCAAGATCTTCGTAGCGGATCGTCCATTCGTCTATGTGATTGTAGAGAGAACTACAAAAACATCTGTAATTAGCGGCATTTTCACGAGGCCTACGCTGTATTAACACTAACTTTTTGAAGAAAAGATGGGACCATAGAACAATAAGACTATAGTCGTATTTTTAATTAGATGAAGTCAACTGACGTTTACGGTGTTGTCATTTTTTTATGAAATAAAAATAGTGTTGTGACAAAGTGAATGATTGAAAAAACTCCTGAATTAATGATCGGTGATGACACTAGTCACCACGCCGCGCTTTGTAATAAGTCGTCAAAAAACTGATTGTATTTACATACTACTACTTACGTACCTAACTTATATCAGAGCACTTTTATACAATTTTAAAATAGAAATAATATTATTTAATAGTTTGAAGTGATTAACTATTCACACTCATTGTTCATTGATCTGATGGAACAAGAACTGAACGTATCACTATTACTTTAAATATGGCAACATACTACCTTTATTATATTGCAAACCTTTATGAACGCGATTTTGGACTATGGTCCATGAACACAGGTTACTTCATCATTCGCTCGAACGGTGGAGGAAAATATCGCAGTTAAAGGCATGCCTTAAGACTCAAATGTGTGGCACAGAAATCTAATAACCTATAAAAAACAAACAATCACAAAAGAAATCATAGGCCGACATGAAGGCATGTAGCGGCACTGTTTTTTATATTATATTCTCTTTTTTATATTATTAAAAATAAAACCCTTTTTAATCGCATTTTTATTATCTAAAATCAGTTTCCTTGATATATTTCTCAACATATTCGCTATTCGCTTCAACTAATACACTAGCTACAGTCTTCATAAGAGTATTTTTGAATGTTGACGTCTTCGTGAACTCCTCGAAGTCAATTCCGTTGACATTTCTTTCAATGTAGTATTCGAATGAGTTCCATAACATTTCTCTTAAACGTAGTATGTGATCCGCTTGGCTGAAAAAATACAGATTAAACCACGTACTTGTTAATTGTCAAAATGTCAGTTGTCATTTTGACAATTAACAAGTAAATTGATTATTTGATTTTGACAGACACTTTGATTTTTCAATTTTTTTATATAAGGAAATCAAAAGTGCGGATACTAAATAAGTAATAATTGTTTAGATTTTTTTTCAGGAGTTATCTAACGGCGAAACAATAATTATTTTGAATTGTAACTGACAGTGTCAGGCATGTTTAAAAGCTTGCAATGGAATTCAGCTTTCTATACTTAACCTGCACTTTGATATATATATCTAATTGAGTTAAAAAAGTATATCAACAGTATAGTTCTAATGTATTTGCTAATGTAAACTGGAGCAGTGTTGGCCTAGTGGCTTCAGCGTACGACTCTCATCCCTGAGGTCGTAGCTTCGATCCCCGGCGTACACTAATGGACTTTCTATGTGCGCATTTTAACATTCGCTCAAACGGTGAAGGAAAACAGCTTGCCTTAGACCCAAAAAGTTGCGTGTGTTAGACACAGGAGGCTGATCACCTACTTGCATATTAGATTGACAAATTATCATGAAGCAGATACAGAAATCTGAGGCCCAGACCTTAAAGGTTGTGGTGCTACTGATTCATTTATTTATTTTAAAATAACTGGAAACTATATGAGTTGACATTAACAAATGTCACACTGACACAAGATACTTTTAATGATTACTGAAAAGCGACTGTCAAAATTCGTATATATTTTCTTTAGTCACAATCTCATGTTAATTTTTTTTTTGCTAAATTCTAATTAAATTGATATCGATACGCCATTTTTTGAATTTAAATTTAGTCTTACCTTGTCGGCACTTCGATTGTTAGTCGGTGTCTTGGCAAATACAAATCTGTCGTGTCTTCTACGCTGGCTTTCTGAAAAAATTTAAATTGTGAAATTTTATTACTTCTTAAATATCCAAAACAAAAGCCTCCTTGACATTTCAAAGGTATTATCGCACAGATTAACAAAATAAATTGTACTTAGTTAATCTTTGTTTATGTACACAATTTAACGTTTATTTCATATGAAAAGATTGAGAAATTATTTCTAAGACGGCTAACCTGAGAAAGGGTTTTAACTTTTATGGACAAAAAAACTGGAAAAATTGCACGGATAAACCTAAAAACAAGTTTTCTTTTGCTGTAAATGTGAACGCAAACAGTTTCTATGGGGTAGCATAGCAAAATTTACTGTATGTTGGTAAGTAGCTACTAAAAAGGTAAGCTAAGTAAAATCATATAAAGGCGAAACGAAGTTCGCGGGGGCAGCTAGTTTAGCATGTAAGCTAAACAGGAAAATTATTGCCATAAAAAAAGGGTGCGTGTACTTACGTACGCGCGTAAGAAGTTATACTTCTTTGGAATTATTGAAAATAGTCTTTGATTGCATGCAAATAATTAATTACAATTAAATAATCAAAGACTGGAAAAGGAGTCATTATAGTCAATAAAGTTCAGTTTACATTATTTATTAATATTATATTTATTATTATTTTCAAATATCAATTAGTATTGATTTAAATATTCAATTTAAATCACTTCTGATTATAATTCAGACGCACATATAAAATTCGCACTTGTATAATGAAAACACTTGTTTTAAATGTAGAAACTCAAAGCATGTGGATAAATATTATAAATACATGCGCCACTAACTTAATTCTGTTAATTTTGTGTCACGGTGCGCGCGCATCGTAAAATTTCACTCTCATCAATTTTTCATAACGCGCCTAAAGAAGTATAACTTCAATTAGTGGGCAACTTCATTCTGTTAATTTTGTGTCACGGTGCACGCGCATCGTAAAATTTCACTCTCATCAATTTTTCATAACGCGCCTAAAGAAGTATAACTTCAAAAATATCAAAGTTAAAACTTACCTTTTGGACGTCTCCCATAGAGAAGAGAAGAGCAGTCAAGGGTGATATTAAAGTCGTCTTATGAACGACCAAGGCTCGGCGTTCCGTCGAATGATATCCTCCGAAATACGTCAGTAAATTGGTATTGTGTTTGCGTTTAGTTATACCGTAATTAATACTTTCGCCGCCTATATGGGCGCGTTCGCCTAAACTGCAAAAATAAATACCTTTTTACACGCTTTATATTAGCTTCACCTGTATGTATGTAACCGACTCCTTCGGACTCGATTTTGACCCACTTTAAACGGACAGATTTAATTCAAACTTTGTACACTTATAAAGAATCAGCGACAATATAATAATTTAATAGATTTATCTCGAAAAAACAATGAATTTTTTTTAAATCCACAAAGCAATACGGTTAAATTGAGACAACACGTATTGCTGCTAGGACTAAAAAGTGGAAAATAAATATAGTTAAAAAAAACTAAAAAACACGCTTCAAACTAAAAAGTGAAAAATAATTCCTAATTTAGGCTGAAAATGGTAATGAACAAAAAATACTGGTATAATTGTGAAAAAGCGTGGGGCGCTCTGTGCCATATTTTTCGTCTATCGAGTAACCCACGCTTTTTCACAATAATACCAGTATTTTTTGTTCATTACTATTTTCAGCCTAAATTAGGAATTATTAACAACAGAAAATGAATGTATGTGCACAGGGCATTAAAGAGTTAAATTAGCGCCTGGTGACTCCAGAGCTGGTGGTTTCCTGGCTCAAGGTGGAGGAAAAAACAGACAAATTCATGTGGCTTGGCGACTTTGAATGCAATGCCGAGTGCGGGTGTAGCAGCTGATTTTAATGGATCATCAGCAGAGTCAGCCGCCAAAGACAAAGATTTCTTTCTTTCACAAACATTTTTAATATTAAAAGGGGATGAAGATCCTATTATTTTTTACTAGAAGAACCCGACCTAAATCCAACACCCAAAACACAGGAACAAAGTGCATGTAAACAATTTAACGCTACTATATTTTAAATATTATTACAAAAAGTCCTAATTTGTATAAAAATCTTGAGCAGCGCTCCGTGGACGTATTTGGAACTAAACGGAACCAACAATCAACGTACAACAGAATTCCTATGGCAATCTGAGGTCCGTGTTCCAATAAGTTACTCAGTCTGCGTTTAGCCATTGTCAAATAGAGATGATATGACAGCTCCCGAAACTAGTTACGAGATTCGATTCATGGGAAAAAAACTTGTATGATGTATTGACAAGTGGAGTAATGGAAATTATTCTGAGATTTAAAAAAAACATTTCCTTTTGTCATATTAAAACCCGTTAATATTTAACTAAATTAAGTAAAAACATAGTTTCTCTTCCACTCATATATTTTTCTATTTAAATCTGATCTGTATTAGTAGTCTTGTATCATAAATTGTTATTAATTAGTATTTTGACAGTGAAACGTGCAAAGCGTTAATTTGTCATATCTGATTGCGTACAGTGTCCCACTGACTATTATTGTGTGTCAAATCTTATCTGTATTCTATTACAGTTTTAGTGTTAAATTAATCATATAATTTTTTTTGAATCGTCAAAAATCTAGAAAGTTATCAACATTAACTCATAGGATAAACTTTAAGACAAAGCAATAAATTTTTATATATATACCTCGTAAACAATTCCACCGCTGTCTTCAATTTCCCTTTAGTTTTTACCATTTTCTTTGTGAAAAGTATTGTATTAGATCCGGATAATAATATCGCTGACGTCATCTCGTCTATATTCGAATATCTATTTAGATCTTCTACTTCTGGATTTTTCTCTAACATTCCACATTTGAGTAAGTGCTCCAAGTGAAGGTTTGAGAGTGCTGGAATACAATACATATATTTGTTTGAATTTCTAGACTTTTCTATTTTTTTTTTTTAATTGGAGTTTGGAAATCAATTACTTAAACTAATCTATTCCAAGCAAGATAAATTTAGTAACTTTATGATAATGTTTTAGTATCAAATATATTGCAACTTCAGGGAACGGACGAATCTCACTTTTTTTTTCAGTAACAAGTACTTTTTAGTTGTCTGGTTCGACCAGTCATAGGTAGCCATACAGTAAAACTATCTATTTCTACCAATTTATTAAGAGTTTTCACAGCTCTGAAATTGTGCGATCAAACGCCGGCTAACATATTTGTCTATGAAAGTAGAAAGACTTAGTATCTTTCATTTGCACAATATATACTCGTACATTGAAGTAAATTAAAAAATGACATAATTATAACTTTAATATAACTAAACCTATTTTTTTTTAAAGCAAATCAATTATATAGTCCAATTTTTAATTCCGTAGAATTCTGACAGCTATCATTTTTGGACATGTCAGAGATGACAAACATCCGAGGCTATGCATTAATTTTATTTGTTAGTGAATGTATCCATTTTATTAAGTGCGGTGCTAAGTGCAAAAAAGCTTTAACGGCGAGTGATAATTACGTCCCTTTTCTCAAAAACAACAAAACGCACAAGTTAAGATAACATTTTTTTTAAAAGGTTTACTTAACCTGGAATTAGTGATGCCAGCTAAAGAATAAAATAAAGTAATTGAAGTTGATTCGATATATTGATCGTGGTATTGAAATATTTGTAATTTTTGTATTAGGTCACTTGAGTAAGTAAATATATAGATTTGCCTTTTTGTAGGTAAAACATAAAAATACGCATTTTATTTTGATTTTTTTCAAAAAGGTCAAATTTGTCCCTTTTTCGGTGGAGAACTTTTTTAGTAGCAACACTTATGAAATGTCAGAATTCTAAGGAATTAAAAGTCATAGTATAATTAAATTGCGTCGTTAGGAATCACTTCAGAAAATGTAGATATTACTAAAATTAGTAATCGATTTATGGTCATAGCTGTTTATAGCAATTTACAAAATAAATTAACTCACATTTAACATACGAAAGCCGGTCCTTCCTCAAACCGTACATGTCGCACCATCCATCCACTTCCCTCCATCCCACTTCCTCCAGCTTTAGCTCGAACGAGTCCTGAATCCAGTGTAAGGCCGCGTGATCGGACGTCAAACTAAATTTTCGCTTTATGTTGCGTATCTCTGAAAAAACCAACATAATAAAATCAATATTTTTGCTTAGTAGGTCAAGAAGTGACAATGTACATTTTTTGAAGTAAAACTTCTTTAGGCGCGACTAGGGAGTAACTCAGTTTTTTTTCTGACGGAAGTAATGCTTAGTCTGTGCAGTTTCCGCTATTTAAAAATAATAATTCGGATTGGTCGTAAGTATATGTCAATTGTCATATACTCCACGCTTCTTGACTTATACGCCAGCTAGTGGCAAATATCATAATTAATTAGGATTATTTATTTATTTTTAAAGTGAATCAAAAAAAGTTTGCGTGCGTGTAACCTTTACTTGAATTACAAGTAAAGGTTACACGCACACACTTATTTTTGTGTTACAGGCGGCAGAGGGGCAGGAGGCCCACCTGATGTTAAGTGATACCGCCGCCCATTGACACTCGCACTACCAGAAAGCTCGCAAGCGCACTGCCGGCCTTTTAAGAATTGGCACGCTCTTTTCTTGAAGGACTCTAAGTCGTGATGGTTCGGAAATACTTCAGTGGGCAGCTGGTACCACAACTGGGCGTTTCTTAAGGCAGTTTTTGCCGCGCACCACCACTATGTGGACCCATCTGCCCACTGAAGTATTTCCGAACCATCACGACTTAGAGTCCTTCAAGAAAAGAGCGTACCAATTCTTGTCCCATAACTTGGGACGCCCTGTATATATAAACTAGCTGACCGACCAACATGTTTTGCCATGTATAATATTATTTCTAGGAAACATTTTTAGATCAATAAAAATAATTATTTACTATATTAAAAAATAAGGGGTTGATCGTAGAGGGGTGAAAATTAGGCGTTGTGTGTATTTTTGTATGCTGTATCATAAAAAAATAACAACAAAAACACAGTTCTAAAAAATAAAAAAAAGTGTGTGTGTGTCAGCTACGACGCACGATTGGAGTTTACTCCTTACGAACGACAATTATGATATATATCGAATAGAAAAAAAGGGTAAATGAACGCATCTGCTAAAATGATAAGAGAAACAAACATATATCTATAATTATTCGGATTATTTATATTACTTCAATAAAGCGTATTACATAAAGTATGTTATTTAAAATAAATCTTGATTTCTATACAAAACGGCACGAAAGACTTCCATACTTTATAAGCTGTGGTGTTTCCCAGGCTTATAGTTTCGGCTTGTGTCAAATGCACTGCAGAACAAAGATGGCGATAATGTTCTGTGGCTGTCGACCATATTTTCATACTAAAGGTGGTAAGAATATATGTTTTTATAATATAAATGTTTGTAGTAGTAATAAAACGTACCTACATCATCTATGCCCAAATAGGATTTTCTTTCTGTGACCAAAGTTACCTTTATAGTAAGAGAAGAATAAGAATGAACAATCTTTTTAGTTTTAATTTCACTGACCATTACTATTGACAAAACTCTATGGCACGCTAGACAATCTACTTTTATTTTTTACACCTGTCAACACTGACAATGTTGTAACGTGGCTGTCAAAACGTGAATTCAAAATAGAAAAGTCTGTGTAATGTATTCCATCTCATTCTTTTACACGTTCAATCCATTTGTCTCTTTCTACATAACGCCTCAACTTTTCGTGTTACACTTGATTTTATTCCTCATAAAATTTCCGTACCGGGCCTTATAACTCAAATCGTTTCTTAAGGAGTAAACTCCAAAAACATTTTGGGGTGGACCCCCCTTATCACTTAGGGGTTTGAAAGTAAGATAGTAGCCAATTCTCAGACTTACTGAATATTCATAAGAATCGGTCTAGCCGTTTCGTAGGAGTATGGGAACAAACATTGTGACACGAGAATTTTATATATTAGATTAACCTCTTTATACATCATATAAATATTGAACTAACCATCTTTCCTGTCCGCCGCATTCGCAAAAACTTCGACGTTATCAGAGCAATGAGCGACCATATTCCCCGCAGCGACGACATTCCCAACAATCGCCGAATGCAATACGCCCCTCGCCAGACGGGGAGAAATGTTCAGGTGGGACACGAGTACCCCTAGACGGGTCAGCTGCTCTGTCTTTGATAGAGCCCCTGGAATTCAAAAGTTCTGATCTCATTGAAGAGGAATTAGGCGTTAGATTTAAAAATCACACTTTCGTCAGGCATAGACGGTTCATCACCTTCGTTAAAATAACGTTAAAACAAATCAGTGGCATCAACCTCTTTAGGTCTTGGCCTCAGATTTCTGAACCTGTTTCATGATCATTTTTAAATCTAATAGGCAAGTATGTAATCAGCCTCCAGTGCCTGACACACGACGTCGACTTTTTGGGTCTAAGACATGTCGGTTTCCTCACGATGTTTTCCTTCCCGTTCGAGTAATTGTTAAATGCGCACATAGAAAGCCCATTGGTGCACAGCCGGGGATCGAACCTACAACCTCAGGGATGAGAGTCGCACGCTGAAGCCACTAGGCCAACACTGCTCTCATCACCTACGTTACTATAATCGTATAGAAGCGTAAACAAAATCAGGAGGCTCATCTGATGTTAACTGATACCGCCGCCCATGGACACACACATTGCAAGAAGGTTCGCAAGTGCGTTGCCGGCCTTTCAAGAATTGGCACGCTCTTTCCTTGAAGGACCCTAAGTCGAATTAAATTTACGAACTTTTCAATAAGTCAAGTAAGTTTTTTTAAGTTTTAAGGCAACGAGCGTAAAGGGCAGTTCCATTGATCCCCATTTTAGGGTGGAGGGTGTCTATGAGCGCGGAGTATGTTCTCTTTTAAACAAAATGCTTATTCTAGGATTTTTATTTAATTTAAATTGAATATGTGTAAAATAATTGTTTACCTAAATCTATGAGGTCATTGACAGCGAATCGCAATGAATCTTTGCTCGGAGGCTGCGGAAGTTGTGAGAGGAAATCTTCCACTTTCTCTTCCGGTGCATAGGTCTTACAATCCAACACTGTTTGGTCTAGTGGTATCCTGATAACCCAAGTTAAACGCAAGTTATTTATTTAGTTACAAAGTTTAGTCAAAACCACTCAATCACACTGGTCTTCGTGAAAAGTATATCATGCGAAAGTTGGTCTGGTTGTATGTTACTACATAATGAATCAATTTTTTTGGAGTTAATGAATTAATTAACTAACTTTAATAAAAAAATTTTTTACCGGATTGAAGTTTTGTATTTACAATTATTTTTCATAATTTTAAATTTAACCGACGTTTCGCGTGCTTTACAGCTGACTGAAGACAAAAGGTGTTGAATGTCAAAAAGTATCACAGCTGTAGAAAAAGTTGTATTATCTGTATTTATTTCCCCGGAGTTGGTATCGACTAAAAGATAAAAAAAGAAAAGAAAAATAATTGTAAATACATAACTTCAATCCGGTTAAAAATTGTTTTATTAATGTGTAAAAGTTATGTCAATAATAAACAATAACTAACTGTATTTTAATTTACCGTAATGTTATGACCTTAATGAGTAATTAAGGATCAAGTTCAAAAGTTTTAAATTAAAAAAAAATAGATATTTTTTTTAAATTTGCATGGGTTGTTGCGCGAGGCCCCTGCAAGAGCGAGGCCCCGGGCGATTGCCCTGTTCGCCACCTCGCCGCTGCCTATTGTAATTGAAAATCGAGTATTCTTGGTCACGTGACCATTTCAATACAAGTTGATTGAGCCATATATGTATGTACAAGATTCTTTGCTGAATATTAAAAATTCTAAAGAAATATATCATTCGTGGGATGAGCAACAAAAAAGAAGTAAAAGACGTGAAAACATTAAATAGGACGTACACGTGCACGCACCGAATTGAAAGAAAGGAGCTTAAACAAATATTACTTTTATTTTATAAAAAATACCTTAATATTTCTGGAGTGGTGTGAGCTGTTAATTCAGCTTCCTTCTCTTTTGTATACAGTTTGTAGCAAAAGCCTGAAATATTCGATATAAAAATGTATTAAATAATTAATTAATTAAATTTGTGTATTGGCAGGGTTAGACATTGTCTAATTATTTTTTATAAACTTATCGGTGGCCTCCTTGAAGATGGTGATTTGATGGTGAAGGAAAGTGGGTGATAAAAAAATGGAAAATAAAAACTGTATTATTTCATTTGCAATCTTAATATATATAAATTACGTGTCACGTTGTTTGTCCGCTGTGGACTCCTAAACTACTTAACCGATATCAATCAAATTTGCATACCGTGTGCAGTTTGAACTAACTTAAAAGATAGGATAGCTTACATCTTCATTTATACCCGTAATATTATTTTATGGCAAATTATTCGTTTATTATTTAATAGTCACAATTCTAACAGATGGCGCTGTGTTGAAAGTACCAACGTTTCACATAAGCTACAATTTAATGGCATAACCACCAAAACAGCATGTTTCCCATGGGTCCCCATGATTGGTGTTCTCCTACCGTTTCCCTTGAATAGTTTACTACTATGTAATATAACAAAAACTTTAGCCACAGCAAAGCTTGGCCGAGTATGCTAATTGTCATATAAAGGTAGTTACTAAAACAGACATGTGGTTTAAGCGAGCGCCTCTCATCTCTGAGGTCGTAGGTTCGATCCCCGGCATACACCAATGGACTTTCTATGTGCCCATTCAATATTCGATCGAACGATGAAGCACATCGTGAGTGAAACTCAAAAATTTGACGGCGTAAGAGGAGGCTGATCACCTACATGCCTATTAGATCATATGATCATGAAACAGATTCAGAAATCTGAGGCCCAGATCTAAAATGTTGAAGCGCCACTGTCTTATTTGTTTTGTCTTAAATTAGACTCCATAATGTTAAATAGTGTCTATGTGCAGAGACAATTTGTAAATAAAAAAAATATAAATATCTTAGCTATGTTAACATTAACCTGGCTGAACTCGTCCCGCCCTCCCAGCGCGTTGTTTTGAACCCGCTTTAGATACCCATACTGTTTCCAAGCTTGCTGTCCCTAAACATGTAATAATATTTAGAATTAAATAAAATATAAACTAACTGCTAGGAATCATAAAAAATTAAATATGTCAGTTTTTATACTGTAAGAAATTGTTGGTCTTTTTCAAAATATTTTTAACTACATATTACTGTTTAATGTGTTATTTTGTGTGTGTTACACACACTTTTTTTTGTATGTGATATTAATGTTGCCGCATTGGTAATATGTAATGTTAGCTTATTTTGTTAAAAATAAAAAAATATGACTAAGAGCCTATCTCCAAGACGGCTGAATTCAAAATCAGTCCTGTGTCAAGCACAGAGCTGATCACCAACTTGTATATGAACGAAGTTCCCGAGTTACAGTTTATTTATTTATTACACACGTTTTTACACACATACAACTCAACCCTTCTTTATCGAGTAGACTTAAAAAAAATTTGGTCCTTCGAATCAAAATGTCGATGAATGAACGAACGGCTCACCGGTGCCCTGTTTGACTCTATTTTCTTTGTGAGCGCCCGTATCAATCACGTGAACTACATCGGGAATGGTGACCGATGTTTCCGCTATATTTGTGGAGAGAACTATCTTCCTAACGCCTGGTGGTGGTTTATTGAACATTTTTGTTTGATCTGCCGTTGATAATCTGTAATTATTATTAAGCATTCTATAGAGCGTCAGTGTTCTTCTAGTAGATTTCTCGAAATCGTGGCGATAGTTCTTAATGTAAAGAAGAATTTGTAATAAGTAGTTATTTTGAGTGACTTTTTGTTCAGTGACCAAAATAAATTGTTCAGCGTGTGATTATTATTCCTGGGGCGTAGGTTTAATCCCCGGCTGTGCACCAATAGACTTACTGTCTATGACCCGCATTCAACACACGATCGTAAGGTGTAGGAAAACATCGTGAGAAAACCGGCATGCCTTAGATCCTTGAAGTCTAACCTAAAGTCTTGCCTATTAGAAATGATTACGAAACAAATACAGAAATCTGAAGCCCAGACCTAAAGATTGTAGCACCATCGGTATAACATACAGGTTATAAGGTTTCCTCGGTATAAATCAAGATTTGACAGTTCATTACTTTTTTATTTTAACTAAAATATAGTAGACAATATAAATTAACGCATTAAAGCGTAAAAAAATAAATAATATAAAAATTATATATTATTGTAAATAAATAGGATTTGAAAATATATATCAGTACACTATAAATAGGATTTTACATATGCCAAACAATTATTGATAATAAACAAGAAAATAAAAAAAATAGGCGAACCAACCTCGAATGCACGGGCAATATAAGGTGCGTCCCATCATTATAGATCTGGTCCAACAGTTCCTTGCTCTTTTTAATTTCAGCCCAACCCGGAAGAAACACTAGTATCGCGCCTTCCGTCTTTGTATTATCAACTGCTTTTATGACTTCTACCACCTTGAATTATTTTTTACAATTTTCAAAAACCCAAAAAATGCATTCTACACTTGATTTTTGACGTAACAATGTCTAATAAATCGATGAACGTCGGCTGCACGCACGAAAATGCATGACTCGTCACATTACGCTTATTGTCCTGTTACGCACATTGTCCCGTCACGATCATTGTACGCTTGCGCCGCATCTATGTTATGACGTTATGAGTTATGACGTTGTCACGTTAAACAATCGTCCGTAAACCGACTTTACAAACAACCATTTTTTTTATATATAGAAATAAATATATATTACATAAAAGAAGTGTTGGGTTGGTTCGATCCCCAGATTATGTATATTTTCTATGTGCGCATTTAATACTCGCTCGTTGGAAGGAAAACATAATACAAAAACCGGCATGTCTTAGTCAAAAAGTCGACGCCATGTGTCAGGCACAGAAGCTGACAATCTACTTGCGAATTAGAAATGATCACGGAACAGATAGAGAAATCTGAGAAATCCTAAAATGTTATAGCGCCAGTGGTTCGTTACGTACGTAATAGATAATGTAACTAAAAAATTAGTTTTAAATCGATTTGGTAGTTTTATAAATCTTTCCGTTTTATTATAGAAGTATACATTACGTAGCAAAGTTCTATTTATTTCAATTGATATACCGCAAAACAAAATTTAACCGAAAAAATTATTACAGCAAATTTTTTTTTTAATTCAAATTTTATCAAACTTTTTCTTAAAGTAATTTAGAAAATTAAGAACTTCAAATAGCTAACAACAACTGAAAAAGATTTTTTTTACTATTACTAGAAATCCGTGGATATCTCAAGAAAAACTTGATGAAACTTGGACTAATTTGAGAAATTAGAGAGGCCTAAACAATATTCATATTATTTCAAATCGGTTAAAAATTAAATACCTCTTGACAATTGATCAACGGCTTGCCATCCTCTTTGGTGCAATTTTCTCTTGTATTCTTCAGTTTTATGTTAAATTGTTTCTCTACATCATCCAAATAAAAGTCTTCTACTGGAAAAGTGCGACCTGGGACTTCTATTAATGGGCAATCTTCGAAATATCTACAATGTAAAAAATTCATTTATTTATAGCCAACAAGGCCACAGATAAAAAAAGAAAAGAAAGATTTTTTATTTTAGATTAATTCAATAAATTCTACTGATACCGCTGCCCATGGTCATGGTCACATTGCCAGAGGGTTCGCAAGTGCGTTGCCGTTTTAAGTAGAGATGTTATGGATATGATATTTCGGATCTGGATACGGATATGGATATAGGAATAAAATTATATGATTTGTAACTATTTCGGATTATCCGTTAGTTTCGGATAGTTTCGGTTACGGTTATTAGATTGAAGTAAAATATAAACAGAAATAGTATGTAATAATTCAGTTTTATACATAGGATTTATCCTCCTCAGTTTTATAGATAAATAAATAAAAATGCAATAACTTTGAGCTATAAAAAAACATTAAGCTTTATACATTGCATATTAACTTATAACCTATGAACATATAACATATTAAATGTTTTCTTTTTAATTATTTTTGTGAGTAATGAAACCATTAACAAAAACCTGTCGAAACATGTTGTTTTATTTAGATTTTAGACTCCGCCCTTATACGAAACTATCCGAAAGTTCTGAAACGGATACGGTTACGGTTACGGATATATACTTAATTCGGATATCCGATTGTTTCGGTTACGGTTACGGAGCTCCATAACATCCCTGGTTTTAAGGTACCTACGCTATTTTCTTGAAGGACCCTAAGTCGAATTAGTTCACGAATACTTCAGCGGAAATCTGGTTCCACATAATGGTGGTGCGCGGCAGAAATTGCCGTAAGAAACGCTTAGTTGTGGAATGACGGACGTCGAGGTGATACTGGTGGTATTTCGTATTCTGCCTCGACGCTCGATGACGAAACCAATGAAGTCTCTAACACTCGTGAACGATTGAACCGAATTGAATGCGATTTTTAATTGGATAAATCAAATAACTAATTATATTTATTTTAGGCACAGCTTATGTTTACTTAACATGGAATAACAAAAAACATGTGTGTGTACTTATGTGCACGCGTAAGAAGTTAAATAAAAATATTTTTTTAAATTTTATCTTTCACCTTATTCTACGTTTGTAGAAAAAATGACGCTAAAAATAGAAAAAAGGTATTTAATACATTGAAAGTTTTATTATAACGCATTATCTAGCTAAAAAATATTTATACATAATTCAAGAAATTGACATTTTTTATTTTAAAATGTTGACTATGCTAAGTTCAGGGTCGGTTTTTTGTGACGGCGTGCGCGCGCATCGTAAAAATTTACTCTCATCATTTTTCCCTAACGCGCCAAACGAAGTTTAACTTCAAAAAAAAATTACACTATACCTTGTAAAAACTTCGATGTCCAAAGTAGCGCTCATGACAACAATTTTAAGCTTGGGATTGATCTTGAGTGCGCGTTTCAATAAAAGCAAGGTTATGTCTGTGTTAACGTCCCGTTCGTGAGCCTCGTCTATTATCACGTGAGTGCATCCTTCGAGTCCTGTGAAAAAAATTTGTTAAAAAAAGTGTTTATTTGTTTTAAGTACCTGGCTTTTGTTTTGTGTGTTAAAATCTTGTAAAATTTAAATGAAATAAATCAATGATAAAAATATACAGTAATCCCCCCCACACACACACACATTTAACACATTAGATTTTCGCCACCTTCCAAACATCTACCAAAAAACTTCATATTTTCTTATTCAAAATATATATATATATATATATATATATATATGTATTCCATATTTCGCTATGTGTGTAATAATTGTTTTTTGTAGTATATAATTTATTTTAGCTGTAGGAATACGAAATAAATAAATTTAATTAAATATATAAAATTGAGGGCGTAACCAATTAGATCAAATGTGACGATCGGCCGAGTTACGATAACGAGTACGCTCTTTTCTTGAAGGACCCTAAGTCGAATAATCTGACCACTTGATGTGGCACTCTGGTTCATCGTCTTGAGCGCTGTCAATTATGTCAAACTTCATATAGAAAAAAATGTTTGACAGATTGACAACTAGATTTAAATTAGATTTTATATGATACAAAGCACTCGAAACGTCAAGTTAATGTAACAACTTCCGTTTAAATCGGTAAAAGCTTTCATTAGTTTTCATATAGAAAATACCTGGATTGAATTGTAACCTGCGCAAAAGTACACCAGAAGTGCAAAACAAGATGGCGCCAGCTGGCGGCCGCGGGGGTTTTGATTGTAGTCTAACCTGGTAACCCACTGTTTCACCAACCTGGAATTTATTAATTATATATTGGGCTAATTATTTAATAAATGATTTTTTTGCTATATAATTGTATTTATTGCATTAAATATCCGGCTCGAAGGACCAAAATTTACGGATCCTGGGTCAACGGAAAGCTTTAAAGGGAGGCTATTTTTCCTCTATCACGCCACTCACGTACAACAAAAGAATAAATGTCTAATAATTGAGTACTATTCATGCTAAATGAAGCTATGCTATGCTTAAACCTTTCCCTCGCAATATATTTATGAAAATATTATGTATGTATACAAAAATAGTGATAAGTTTACTAGAATAGAACATACGCACAATGTTAATACTCGGAACAAACACAGGCTGCAATTTACCCGTAATAGACTATCTAAAGTTAGTAATTCTTTTTTGGGAAAAGGGATACTCTTCTTTAATAAAATCCCAGAGGCTCTTTTATCTCTGCCGTTTAATTAATTTAAGAAATGTATTAAAGAAAAGCTGTGTAAAAAGGCTTACTATAAAGTTAACGATTATCTAGTTGATAAAAGGGCCTGGGACTAGTGCTAGACAGGCTACTTCTAATTAACTTGCGATATTTGTTTTAAAATAAGTGTTGTTTGATGATTTGCTATTTTAAAAGAGTACCGAGAGTTTTTTACGCCGGCTTTTTCTCTCGGCCTACACCCTCTGTCTCCTTTGCCGATGAGTAGGGATGCCTACAAATTCAAATTTAATGACGTGAAATAAGTGATACCTGTATTTTATCTTCCATAATAAACATATTTTATTTTATAATGCTGAAGAGAGTGCCTGCGTCTGGGTATACTCTCGGGGCATATCTATGACGACATAGATAATCGCCACACTTATAAAATTAAGTTTTTTTGGTGTGCGAACTGTCAATACACGACTTCTCCCAAAATACTAATTTTAATTATTTTTAAGTGTTTTTTATTGATATTACTTGTTATTTATCTCTTATTTATACATAACTTAGTGTATTAAGTATATTGTTGCAAAATATTACAGTGATATAGTGATTATAAAGTGTAATAAACGGTGTCAGTAACAGCTGTGTACTAGGTAACGTACTTAATTCGAATCGTTGTCATCCAAATTCGGTAATTTGTATTCTTTTTCAATACGAATAAATAGTGTAAATAAGTAAATTGAAACAAATAAGTATTTATTACAATACTAATAATCTCGCGAGCTCACATTCACACTGCCCCTGTGTAGGTACCTATTCTATCTTTAACAATCTTTGTTAAGTCAAGTAATTTAAATCATAAACAATGACTACTCGTAGTGCTAAGAGTCGCCAGTTGGAAAGCCAACTCCAACTCGCGCTCCAAGAACTGAAAAAGTACAAGGAGCAGTGTGAACAATTAATTGTTGAAAGGAATGACAACGAAATCGAGACGTTGAAGGTAATTAATAGAAATACTTTACTGAAAACTGAGATGACACAGCTTCACAATCTTTGCTTGGAGGCACAGGAGGAAAGAGACCGTCTTAAAAGACAAACAGGCAACTTTGACCGCTGTGCCATTGAATATGAGGACAATTTAAAAACCATGTCGGAGCTACGGTCTCAACTCTCTTGTGCCTATGAAACAATTGAACAGCTTAAATTAAATATTAACAAATTAGAGTCTTCTCATACACAAAGTCTGTATGAAGAACTGGTCATCTCAAATCTAGGTAAAGACTGTATTAGGTCCACTGCAACAATTGACTTGACAGGTGATGACTCTGTGTCACATACATCAACTCAATTCAATTGTAACAGCAAAAACAAATTAAAGAAATATATTAAATTGCAAAAATTCATCAAAAAAACTAAAAAATTAATAAATGGAAATAAAATTTACAAAAACCATATAAACCTATCAAAAAAATATAAAAATTGTTTAAATCAATGTAAAATATTTTCAAGTGAGGTTGAATCAGCAAAGAATAAATATGAAACTGACATTCTCACATTAAATTCTAGGATTACAAGTCTTCATAATTCTCTTGAAGATATGACAGATAAATATAGTTGTGCCCAGCAACAAATAGGGGAGCACATATTGGCCATGGATGAGGTTCTGCTACTGTCTCAATACAATGAACAACGCTTCTTGTCATTGACCAACAATTGCCAGTGTGGTTTTAATGGGACAAATGCGGAGCCTCCATTGTTATCATGTGAGCCCAGTGTGCAGAGTGACAGTTTCATAGAAAAAGTTAGTGTAAATAAAAGTGAAATTCTGTTATTTAGTGATGATATAGGGAAAAATATTGGTACTAAATTATATCAGTCCTCCGGCAAAATTGTAACAAATCATTGTATGCCCGGAGCCACCCCTGTAACCATTTTCAACAAAGTCTTGTGTGGAAATTACACAAATAACACAACTTTAATATTGCTTTTTTGGGAGAAGGGGAAATGTAGGACAAAATGAATTGTTGTCATTCATTGATAAATTAAAATCACTTAATGTAGAGAATATTGTCTTGCATACATTTCCTTACATCAAAGGTGCACCAAAGGAAAATAAAATTAGATATAAGTTAAACATGTTGTTGCACAATACGTTAACTACTAACAATATACAATTAAATTGTGGCTTAGGTACACTACCTAATTTAATGGACATAAATTGTATATTTAAAAATAAGTATGTATTGACAAAGGATAGGTTCCGCCTACCTAATTATTATTTACAACAGATAGCTACTATGCTATCTTACTTTTTATTTACAACTAAAGCTAAACATTTAGCTTTTCAGACAACTGCTTCTATTGAGCAGCTAGCTTTTCAGACAACTGCTTCTATTGAGCAGCTTAGCTTAAGTGAATGTAGTGATACTTGCAGTAGCACTTCATTAAGTATAAATAATTTAAATTAGATAGTGTGACAATAGAGGCAAACTCTAGCAATAATTTAGTACAACTCAGCTCAACACAAACATGTTATATTACTAACAACAACTGTTTAAACTTGATGCATCAAAACATGCAAGGTATGTTGGGCAAAGAATTAGAATTGGAGTTGTTTTTAAAATCAAGTAAAATTGATGTCCTATGCATTACCGAACATTGGCTTAGAGAATGCCAAATCATCTTTAACTTTGATCAGCACCAAGTTGCAAGTTCGTTTTGCAGATTGTCGGCGATTCATGGGGGCTCTTTGATTATTGTTAATAAAAATTTAAAGTATAAAGAGCGTAATGACATCGTGTGTCTGTCTGTAGAACACTCTTTGGAAGTAGCCTGTATAGAGATTGAGAATTGCATTATTTTAAGTGTTTACAGACCACCAAGTGCATCTTACGATTTTTTTGAAGAAAAGTTGGAGGAAATTTTGTGTAAAGTTAGTTTTAAGAACAATAAGTATATTATTGTATGTGGTGACTTCAATATAAATTTATTAGAAAATACCTCCATTAGTAAAAAATTCAATCTGTTATTAAAATCTTACAATCTTGTTAACTTGTTTCTTGAGCCCACTAGAATTACAAGCTCCACTGCTACATGTATAGATAATGTATTTACAGATGCAGAGGCAATGCAAACCTCAATTACAACTGATCTTAGCTCAGATCATTGTGGACAGTTAGTGGCGCTAAAATGTAAAGTGGTGAAACAAGTAAATAAGAGCAGTGTGTTTGTTCCAGTGAATAAAAAGCGAATGGTGAGATTTAGACATAATATAGGTAAACGCCTACCTTTATTACCGGTAGGTACTACCGTTGATACACAATACAACAATCTAAGTGATTGTATTAATAAAGAGTTCAACACCATCTTTACCCCAAAGAAAGTCTCTCATTCGCAGTGTAAATCGTTTAGTGATTGGGCGACAGCGGGAATTTATAAAAGTAGACAACGGTTGTATGACCTTTACGCTGAAAAGTCATACAATCATAATGAAGAATTTATTCTTTATGTTCGAAATTATTCGAAATTATTTAAGAAAGTTTGTTACGCGGCCAAGTCCTTAAATATCAAAAACAAGATTAAAAATAGTACCAATAAAACTAAAATGACTTGGAAGATAATTGATAGTGAAACTGGAAGAGTCAGGGATCGCAATCAAGACATCGAACTATGTGTCGATAACACTATAATCAAATCTAACGAAGAGATAGCGATTGTTTTTGATAAGTACTTTTCTGACATTCCAATTTCGACTACTAAGTCTCTTCAATCATCTCCCGCCCTCGCCGAATCGCTGCTCAAAGATAATGTAAACGAGTGCAAGGTCAGTTTTTCATTCCGACCCATTGGTGCCGACGATATAGTGAGGATATTTAGAACCATAGATATTAAGAACACTACCGATCTTTGGGGTATTTCTGTAAAAATAATTAGTAGCATAATTGATGTAATTGCTCCCCATCTAGCTATAATTTTCAACAATTGTATTAAAAGTGGCGAGTTTCCCGATCTAATGAAACATAGTAAAGTTATTCCTTTATTTAAAGCAGGTAGTATGTCCGACCCCAGTAACTTTAGACCAATTTCCGTACTACCTACTTGTAGTAAAATATTTGAAAAAATTATATTAAATCAACTGGTAAGTCATTTTAACGTAAACAAATTATTACATAATAATCAGTTCGGTTTTACCAAGGGTCGCTCGACAGCCGATGCCGGTGTTGAGTTATATAGATATATAGTTAAGGCTTGGGAGGAGTCGCATGACGCTTTAGGTGTTTTCTGCGACTTATCCAAAGCATTTGATTGTGTCCAACACGAGACCTTAATCGGGAAACTCCGCCACTATGGCATCAAGAATACCGCACTGAATCTTCTGACTTCCTATTTACACGGAAGAACTCAGAAGGTTGAAGTGAATGGTAAGAGGTCCTCTGGGTCGGCAGTAGATATGGGGGTACCACAGGGCTCAATTCTTGGCCCTTTCCTCTTTCTTGTTTATATAAATGATCTACCTTTCATGGTAGAGAGAAAACATCAGATAGTTTTGTTTGCTGATGACACGTCCTTGATTTTTAAAATCAAACGACAAATAACAAATTTTGACGATGTGAACAATGCTCTGTCTTCGATTGTCCATTGGTTTAGTATGAATAACCTTCTACTTAATGCAAAAAGACAAAATGCATTAAATTTTGTGCAAAAATGCAAGGGTTATGGATACTAGACCAATTATAAACGGTGAGGAATTGAATCTGGATGATACAACTGTATTTCTCGGAATCACCATGGATTCAAAACTTCAGTGGTCCCCTCATATTAACGGATTGGCGAAGAGACTTAGTTCTGCAGCCTACGCGGTTAAAAAAATTCGCTCACTAACTGATGTCGATACAGCTAGACTTGTTTATTTTAGTTACTTTCATAGCTTAATGACTTATGGCTTATTATTATGGGGTCATGCTGCTGATGTCGAAACTATTTTCATCCTGCAGAAGAGGGCTATTCGTGCAATCTATAATTTAAAATGTAGGGAATCTCTTAGAGATAAATTCAAGGAAATTAATATACTTACCTTTCCCTCGCAATATATTTATGAAAATATTATGTATGTATACAAAAATAGTGATAAGTTTACTAGAATAGAACATACGCACAATGTTAATACACGGAACAAACGCAGGCTGCAATTTCCCCGTACTAGACTATCTAAAGTTAGTAATTCTTTTTTGGGGAAAGGGATACTCTTCTTTAATAAAATCCCAGAGGCTCTTTTATCACTGCCTTTCAATAAATTTAAGAAATGTATTAAAGAAAAGCTGTGTAAAAAGGCTTACTATAAAGTCAACGATTATCTAGTTGATAAAAGGGCCTGGGACTAGTGCTAGACAGGCTACTTTTAATCAATTTGCGATATTTGTTTTAAATAAGTGTTGTTTGATGATTTGCTGTTTTAAAAGAGTACCGAGAGTTTTTTACGCCGGCTTTTTCTCTCGGCCTACACCCTCTGTCTTCTTTGCCGATGAGTAGGGATGCCTTCAAATTTAATGACGTGGAATAAGTGATACATGTATCTTATGTTCCATAATAAACATATTTTATTTTATTTTATTTTTATTTTAAGAAATCTTGAGTGAGCAAAACAAACAGTCTTTTGGAACATATAAAATAAAATATATTACTACAATTTAAAAGCTTTTCTTCTCAGTCTACGCATGTATTTTATGAATTATTCTCATCATTATGAGTAGATCAACTTTCTTTGTCCGACACGTCTTTAGGGTTTAGTCGCGCTATTAACTTAATTGCAAGAGGACTTGCGGATATACAAAGAAAAATACAACCGTCGGGATTCGAACTCACAACCAGGGTATAGAGTCGTTTGACCAATATTGCTCTTTAGAGGGCAGTATTTCTCTGGTCAATCATGATGGCTTAAATTGATGTCTTTTGCTGTGTATGACTATTGACTATTGCAGACTTTTTTTTGTATAGAATAGGGGGCAAACGGGCAGGAGGCTCATATGAAAAGTGATATGGACACTCTCAATGCCAGAAACGCGTTGACGGCCTCTTAAGAACGCTTCTTTTCTCAGTTCTTTGTAGATACTATTATATAATTATTAAATAACAAAAGTTTATATTTGTATTGATTAACCCTGTATAGAACATTTGGTACAATTCTATTCATTTAGACGACAAATTCATTTAAATAATTTAATCAATGAAAAACCAAGTTTTCTTACATTTTCCCCTAACTCATCAGCGACTCTCTGCGCTAATCCAATAGCGGCTACACGTCGGGGTTCTGATACTATCGCGGTAGTTCCAACACCGCAGTATCTCAAAATGGCTGCCGGAACCCTGGTGGATTTACCACACCCAGCCGCCCCTACGATGACCGCCACGCGAGATGTTTCTAGTTTAGATGTTATTTCCTCTCTGAAAAATACAATGTATAATATGAAAAATCGTCTTGCATATTAAATATTAGATAAACATACTTTTGTATAGTAAGTCACAATGAAATTCTTTATTATTATTGTCTTTTATTGACATAACTTTTAGACATAGAAAAACACTTTTTTAACGGATTTGAAGTTATTTCCCCGGAGTTGGTATCGACTAAAAGATGTGTCGATACTAACTCCGGGGAAATAAATACAGATAACACAACTTTTTCTACAGCTGTGATACTTTTTGACATTCAACACCTTTTGTCTTCAGTCACCGTGACCACGTCACGTCGGTTAATTTTAAAATTATGTAAAATAATTGTAAATTTATAATAAAACATAACTTCAAATTCGTTAAAAAAGTGTTTTTCTTTATTATTATTAAAAAAATCTTCTGTTTTTTCGTAAATAATTATTGTAACATTTGACGAGAATTTCAAAACCATGTCAGATTATTTATTACTACGAGTAGAATTTAGTTAATATTATGGAACTTACACAAATTGTTTTAATTCTGTTAAGTATTAGCTTGAAACATTAATTATATCAAGAAACTAAACTAAAACGTAAGACAAGGTGACACAGTCCTTATTAAACGTTATCAAACGTATAATATAAATTATCATACTTAGAACACAAAAACATATAATCAATCAAAAACAATCTCCGTCGAAAGTGAATTACAATTTTTATAGGCCTGCAACGCACCCACTAAAATGGGTGCTCATGGGCTACGATAACTGCCCTTTTAGGGCGTCCTGAATATAAAATCTAAATATTATTTTAAAAATTTATCAATCACAAAGCTATTATGTTTTTAGTATATATAATTGTTTAATAAATAAATATTATTTTGGTATATTTTAAACGTAAGTTTTCTGGTGCTATGATAGTTGACACTTAAATTTTTAAACATCTCCGCCAAATTTTAATAGGAAAAATTTTAACTTTTTTTTTACAAATTGTTTAACTTATAAATATGGGATGAGATGGGGTAAAATATTGTAAATTTTAAACCCGAGTAAGGCAAATAAACGTTATTTAAATTATTCAAAAATCTATTATTTATTTATTTATTCAATGTTCTTTCATAAGAAATAGCAAATTTTAAAATTACTATGAGGATAAAATTATACAAATGAATACTCAAAACATTCCAATTCACAAATCTATATCGTAATAGTGGCGGGTTTTTTTCTGTTTATCATCGTTTATCAATACGGGCTAATCACTTGGGACTTACCGAAGCGTGCTAGAAATCACGAAAACAATATTAAACCATACTTTCCTTAATCCTTATGTACTTTGAAAATCACGTAGGCTGATTCTGAGAAACTTAAAACACGCGACTTATTTGGCGTATGACGTTGATATTGATATATATATCTTAATATATATAAATTACGCGTCACGTTTTTTGTCCCCTATGGACTCCTAAACTACTTAACCTATTTCCATCAAATTTGCACACCGTGTGCAGTTTGATCTAACTTAAAAGAGCTTACATCTTAATTTATACCCGCAATATTATTGTGTGAATATTATATAAGTGAAACTTCTTTAAGCGCATAAGGGTAAAATTTTTACGGAACGTCACGAAGATGTGCAGCGTTTTTGTCGATTTTTTTTTCTTAAATAAACATGTGACATAAGTTAGCAATTATGATAATAATGAATTTGTTATATTATTTGGTAATTGTAACCATATTTATGGTGGTATTTCTATTGTATAACAGCTAATTTAAGTTCTGGTTTTTTATTAGCCTTAGTATCATTAATTAATATAGAAAGACTGGCAAAATTATATTATGGGATTTGGGCAGCTTAAATACTCAATAATTAATTTACAAGAAGCTTCACTTCTGACATGTGTACTTTGTACGCACGTACTTTTTTTTTATTGCACATTAGTTGTTTATTATTTGACACTCACAATTCTAACAGATGGCTCTGTGTTGAAAGTACCAACGTTTCACATAAGCTACAATTCAATGGCATAACCACCAAAAAATCATGGTGGTCCATGGCTGGTGTTCTCCTACCGTTTCCCTTGAATAGTTTACTACTACGTAATATAACAAAAACCTTAGCCACAGCAACGCTTGGTCGAGTCAGCTAGTATTACATAAATTGTAGAATACACTGCTGCATTCCTACCTTGTCATAACATTACGATTAAAACTGGATTTAAATTTTTCCAACATTGTCAATTTGCTCTGCGTATCTAAGCCCTAACATCCTTGGGTATGCAGAGAGATATACACTAGGTCGTCGATGTAAGGTTTAATTTGCCTATAAAAAAGCAATTAAACAGACGCGAAAATATATGCTGTAGGCATAAAGTGACCATTTATTCTTAGACTCCAAACGGGATATTGGTTTAATTTAGGTCAAATAATAAGTAACGAATGAAAAAAAAATTTTTTAAGTTATTTATTTAGAAAAAATTGGCATTAAAGTTACGAATCACAAAATATAGGTACCAAAAAAGTTTAGTTATACAAATTTATAATTATCAGAAGAACAGATTTGTTTTAATATAGTGACGATTTCAAATAAGAATGAAACTCTTGGAGAGTTTTTTTTTAATATTCTGCTGCTTAAATTTTGCGTCCCACGGGACGTCTGGTCACGTTACATAATATGCAACATATGAAACATACAGGTATGATAGGATTATTTATAACACCTAATTATATATTTTTATACCTACTTGGAATTCTTACATTGATATCCACGGGTCAACAAATTGTACCTCAATGGTATAATATTACTTTATACATACTTTAAGTGTTGATACCGGTGATTACCTGAATACCAATACCTAAAAAACACGAGAAATTGCCAAAAACCTGTCGACTTAGACATCACGGGACTTTATATTATCTAGTGTTTTAATACCACTTCAAACATTCAAATTGCGTCATTTCGGTAAACCATTCATGGTATGTAGGGTTGCCACCCATATTTTATAGAAAATTGTTGTGTGTTAATTAAAAACTAAATACTTTATGACACGAATTACTAAAGCATTCACTTAATGTATTAAGGTAATTAACTTTTACGATAAAAGGAATTTATTATTACCATTATTAAAGCTGTGCAATTGTTGAGTCGAGATACTAATTTAATACACAATGCAGAAAGCAATAAAATAATTTTGAAATAAAAAAATCAATTGTTACTTTACTTCGATACTATTTACTTGTGTATAACCAATATACTTAATTAATTTTTAGGGAAACAAAACAGATACAACTCTATACAATAAAAAAAGTTAAAAATAAAACATAAAATAAACACATTCGATGTATTCACAAAAAGTTTCACTAAGAAAAAATAAGATACAGAGCAAAGCAAAACAAAACATGACAGCACAAAATTCATAAATACGGACAACGACAAACATACTAGTAGCTATTATAAACAAGAAAGGTACAAGGATTAGGACAATAATAGTTGTTTTAAATGATTTTTAAATGAAGCAGTAGAGTGCAAAAAATTAATTGCAAAGGTGGCTTAATAAATTACCCTAATAGTATTACTATGACGTAATTTTAGGTTTTTTGTTAAAGTAAATATACGATAATGAACCTATATTCCAGCATTTGTCACGGGTTTTTTGCTAATGTATATGTCGCGGCCAACTAGCTTAATTAACCGATCTATCAACAGCCTAGCCTCTTAACTAAACAGCGCCATTACTATCAATAATGGCGTCGGTAAACCACAACCTTGATGGTGTTTTCCAAATTTTAATGAAAAACAATAAGTAAAATGGAAGAGTGTAGTGATAATAATAATATGAATTTAACTGTGACTGTCTCAAGCAATTTAATTTTTAAAGAAATATTTTTTAGATTTTATCGCGAGCTATGAGCGCGGCGACCGAATCAAGAAATTCCGTAACGAAAATCAACCTAACACAAGATGACGTAATATAGGTGCGGCAAATACGCGTTAGAGCGGAACAAAACGCATTTTGCGTATCACATCTCTCTGACGAGATCGGTGACGTAGCGTAAGCGCGGCCGGTGCAGTCGGTATGCGTAAGAGTGCTTAATAATAAAAAATGCTTTGAAATAGCTTTACCGCGGTAGTCCCCGAGTGCCACACGTTTTTTTTATTTCTGTCACATGGTCACTCTATCGTACGAATGGCCTAAGCATACGCCAGCCAGTTTATTAAATGTTAAACGGCGCTGTATAGTTAAAAGGCTAGACTGTTAATTGAACGGCATATTAAGCTAGTTGGCTGCGACATATATACAAATTCTTCGTCAGTTAAGACTTCTTTTTGTTTTACTCCTCAAATAAATGACTTACAATTCAATACTGGTTTCAACTTTCCCGTTAACGGGTTAGTAATAATTATAAGTACGTGTGAGGGCAAAACCAAAATGTCAACCTGACGTAATAGCCGCTGTCTTGAATTAAAGGTTTCATTACATCATTTTAGTTTAAAAACCCAATTTGCATCTTTTTAACTACAATTCTTCGTGCGTTTCATTACCTACCCGACTCTACAAGATTCTTTATACTAAAGCGTATTTAAGCGGTTAATAACGCAGAAAAACGTTATAAAGTTTGCATTTGTAATAGTTTAGTTATACTCATTTTCTAGTTTATTATAAATTTTAATACATTTAAAAATACCGCGCAAACAGAGTGGGGTTTTACGTTCTCATAATGCCACTAGATGGCACTCGATAAACTACGATACGATCAGGTAAAAATAAACATTAATTGGGCATTTTTACGACTAAATATTCATTGTTCATCATATTTTCTTTCTATTTTATTTATTAAAGTTTACCATAACATTCATAATACTAAATCTACGGCATATTTTACGAAATCTTCCATCTAAAATGTATGACAATTTAAGTAAACAAAAGTGTTACAAAAAAAATATCAAAAAATACAATTAAAATATGTACAAGATAAACTAAGCATACAATAAAATAACCAGAAATTTTTGGTAAAGCAGAAAAAAATATCATCAGCAAAACAGCGAATTAGGTTCGAGATACGCACCCAACAATGCATTCTCTAAAACCGATCAGCCCACTACCGAATATATCCAGCTCCGGATAAGCTGTGTTCAATCCGTTAAAATCGCGAAGAATTCGAACGAGAGGTGCCTGAACTCCTAGGTTGGTTTTGGCAGAAGGAATTTGGAAGATATTGTTGATTTTAAACCTAGCGAATGAATAAGGGACGACAATTTTAATATCCTGTAAGAGGTCACTGCTATGTACATGATTATTTAGCAATTTATATAAGAAGGTAGTTCTTTGTTTTGTTACTTTAGATAGTCGGGACAAAGAGATTAACAATGGCGCTATAACCCTTTTAGGTCTGGGCCTCAGATTACTGTGTCTGTTTCATGATCATTTGTCAACCTAAGAGGCAAGAAGGTGATCGCCTTCCTGTATCTGATACTCGACTTTTTGTGTCTTAGGCAAGCCGGTTTCCTCACGATTGTTTCCTTCACCGTTCGAGCGAATGTTAAATGCGCACATAGACAGAAATTCCATTGGTGCACAGCCGGGGATCGAACCTACGACCTCAGAGATGAGAGTCAAGAGTGACAAGAATTTTTTTTTACAAAACTCCACATCAACGAAACGAAATCAAAATTGACTTTCGTTAACAAAACTTTACTCTTGCGCAGTGAAATCTGGGTTTTGTGACATCGAAAGCGTTGTACGGGATTTCACAAGTGAAACTGGGGCTACGTGAATCCAAAGTACGTCACTATGACGTAACACTGATAAGTGACGTCACGCTGACGGCTGTCGAAGCTTATAAAAACATAAATTTCTTAATATTACCTATGACGCCAATGGAGTGGATCAAAATCATTTTTTTTTTATTCACGCAAACCGTATGACTCATGACATTCAAAGGACAGTTGCTTTATTTAGGAGCCTTGACAAATTAAATCTATGTGAAGAGTTGCATCTTTCGGTCTCTTTCTCTCGAATCGTCTATACCCAATGGACTTTCTATATGCGCATTTATGATTGAACACTCGCTTGTACGAAGGAAAACATCGGCATGCCTTAGACCCAAAAGGCAAAAGCCTGGTAAGATACCTATTAAAAAAAAATACAAATTAGAACCATTGCATTTATTAAAGTTCAGTACATCATACATAATACTATATCTATGGTATAAGTTACAAACTCTTTTATATAAAATGTATGACAATTTAGGTATATTAAAAAAAAACAATAAGACATTTTATGTTAAGCAATTTAAAAAAAATCCAGCATAACAGCGGATTAGGTAGATCTCTAAATGGATTCAATGCATCAGTATCTATTGTATATCGTATTTAATTATGAGTCTATCAAATCTTAAGTGCTCTTAGCACGTCATAAATATATATTACAAATTAATCAAACTGATTCATAATCAAAGAACGGGTTCTTTAAGTGATTTCATGAATTATACATTTATGATTAATGTTATTGATATTTTAGTCGACATATAAACATATCCCATATTGCTGAGTTTCTTGCCCGTTCTTCTCAGAACAAGGCCTCCTGGTAGTTTTGCGAACGGATAGCGTAGTCTTGCTCTTCAAGTTTTTCAGGTTAAAAAATCACGAGCTCGTGATTTTTTAACCTGAAAAACTTGACTCCTTCATTTGTTTGCAACGAACCTATCGGGAAATACCCGATAATTTTGAAGCTCTTGTGGTATTATAAGTGAAAATTTATTCAAATTTCAGTTTTTAATTTTTTTTTTAATTTACTTACTGTGTTTAGTTAATAATTTCTTCCTAAAACCTATCATTTAAGTTTATTAAGTGGAAAATTCATTTTTTTAATTTGGTCTATACTCTATAGCAGGGAATTACTCTTTTCCACAGGGCAAACACACTAGAGAAAGAGACGAAAGAGTAGACTTAGTTTTTTTACAGGCAAGTGTCGTTGGACACCTGCAACGCCGGGGAATACGCCGACGTTTCAGGGAATGACGTTTCTTGAAGTTTGAAGTCGTATCGGTTCGAAAATAAATTAAATTATCTGCGTAAATCTCCAATGTTTCGGATTTTAGCTAACTTCAATACAATTTATTAATATGTAGACATTTTCCACCTTACCAAAGAAGGTGTGAGGATATATTTTAGGAAGCGGGAGGGATTTGACTTTATTAAGAAGTAGTTACAATTTATTTTTCTTTAAAATATT